CCTTCCCTTCCCTTCCTTCCCTTTCCCGGTTTTTTCCCGGGAATTCGATCCCGGCCGGGCTGAGCTCGGCCAGCGCCGGCCGCCCCCGCCCTGGAGCATTCCCAGGTTTCTGCTGGAGAAGAGCCGCGACCCCGCGGAATTCTGCCCAGCGCCCCCGGCTGAGAGCAGCTCCAGCCGCAAACCGGGAATTTGGGGAATTTTGGGACTGGGAGGTCGCCGGCCGGGCTTTGTCCATCCCAGATCCTTCTCTTCCCGAGGACCGAGAATTCCCGAGGTTTGCCCGGGTGCTTTGGATCCCGCGCTTGCTGTGCCAGGAATCCCCGGAAGGGTCTCCGGCCCTGAACCCTTTTAATCCCGGATTTCTCTTTTTTGTCCCGGATTTCTCTTTTTTATCCCGGATTTCTCTTTTTTATCCCGGATTTCTCTTTTTTGTCCCGGATTTCTGTTTTTTTATCGCTGATCCCGGCGGGAATGGGCCGGGATGGGCTCCGGATCTCCCGGGAACCGCCTCCTCCCCCAGGCTCCCTCCCCGCAGGACAGGCAGGAAAATGGGATTTTCCCCCCTGAGCTTTTTGGTTTCGAGGCTCCGGGTTTGGAGCAGCAGCTGGCACTGGCTCTGCTGTGCCAGGGGAGGAGTTTTGGGTAAATTCAAGCATTATTTGGGAAAAAACTCCGCATTTTGTGCTCAAAACTCATGGAAGTGCTCACGGCCCAAAGCTCATCCCTGCACAAACACTCCCCTGGCACGGCTCTGCTTTCCTTGGATTGCTCCTCCCCGGAGAAGCGGCTCTGGCTGCCTCTCGGGTTGTTTTTAGGGAATTCTATTCCCCAAAACTCGGTGGGAAGGGAAATTGGAGCCGCCGGTCCCCACTCGGGGGGAGCCACGGGGCCCCGCAGCCGGATCCGGCCGGGATCGCTCCGGAGCCCCGGAGCCGCAGCCCCGAGCTCGTCCTGCCCCAAAAAGCAAAGGGAGAAACCCAAAACGCTCCGGGATGGAAAACGGGCGCAGGGGAACGGGAGCGCCTCAGCCACGGTGCCCCCGTTTCCCGGGACAAAAGGATCGTGCCTCAGTTTACCCCGGAAACCACAGGGCGAGAGGGGCTCGGGCGGCAGCCGCTGATCCTGGGCCGGGATCCACTCCAGACTGGGATCCACTTTAGGCTGGGATCCATTCCCAGGCTGGTATCAATTCCAGGCTAGGATCCACTCATTGCTGGGATCCACTCATGGCTGGGATCCACTTTTGGTTGGGATCCATTCCCAGGCTGGGATCCACCCCCCAGACCTCCCCAGGAAATCCCCCAAACCCCCCCTGCCCCCAAGAAACCCCCAAACCTCCCCTGCCACCAGGAAACCCCCCAAACCTCCCCAGGAAACCCCCCAAACCCCCCGTGCCCGCAGGAAATCCCCGTTCCCGGCCGGTTCCGTCTCTCCCATCCCCGGTTCTGTCACACCTCGTGAGGAAAACGCTTCCCAAAAGCAGAGCCGGGAACGGGGAGCGGCCCTGGGGCTCCCCGAGCCCCTCCGGCCCCCGGCCCCTCCTTCCCCGGCCGGGCTGAGCCCCCCAGCCCCGGCCGCTCTTCCCAGCGCCGGGTCCCGCTAGAGGGCAACAGAAAACCGGGAAAGAAGCGCCGGGAAAGGGCCTGGCAGCACCGCCAGGGCTCCTCGGGGCTCGGCTCCACCTCAGCGGCACCGGAGCCCCGAGGTGCCCCCCTGGACCCCGGCCGAGGATCAGCCTGCACCCCCAAACCCAGCCGGGATACGGGGAACGGTCCCTGCCCGCCGCACGGGGGATCGGGATGAGCTTTGAGGTGCCTGCCCCCCCAAACCGCTCCAGGATTCCATGAAAACCGGGCAGGAGGCGAACCCCCGCGTCTGCGGGAAAAGAGGTTTCCCAAAAAAAAAGCAGGAATTTGTGGCGGAGCAAAGGCAGAGCCGAACCCTCGGCACGGACGGAGCCCATCCTCACGCAGAGGCCGGATCCCGGGCCAGGACCCTGCTGCGGGAAAGAGCAGGAAAATTCCCTTTATCCACCCCACTGCTCCCACTCCTCGTGGAATTCCCGGGCGTTTGGAAGGAAGCTGACCCGAGCTCCGGCCCGGACGCGTTCGGTGCCGCCCCGGGGCTGCCAGGAGGGAGATCCCGGCCCCTGGATGCGCCGGGCTCCGGAGGGAGCCGGAGCAGCTCCCGGGTCCATCCCGGGTTGATCCACTCCGGCCCCGGGGAAGCGACATTAAAGCGTTTTTATCCCTCCTCATCCCCGCAGGACCCCAAAACTGCTCCCCAAGGGATTCCCAAATCCAGCTCAGCCTGGGACGGAGGGACGGAGCCGGCAGGGCGGGGGAGCTCCGGGAATGCGGAGATGGCTGAAAACCGGGAATGCCCGAGCGCTGGGAAGTTTGATGGGGATCTTTGATGGGAATCTCGGCAGCCCCTGAGGGGATCCCGGCCGCTGCCGCCGGATTTCCTCCAGCTCCGCGTTCCTTCGGCTTCTGCGAGGCTCCGGGGTCTGCTCCTGAGGGAATATTCCGGAATTTACCTGCCCTGGATGCCAGGGAGGGTTTCTGGGGGGATCCGTCACTTTTTGGCTCCCATTGGCACAGGAACCGGGATCTCCTTTGGGATTAAGGAGGAGCCTGAGAACCGCAGGCTCAGAAAGGCTGGGAAGGACCCCGAGGCCCTCAAATCCACCTTTCCCTAAATCCATTCCCCATCAGGCGCCACATCCCCCCGGCCTCCCGTGTCCCCAAGTGCCACCGCGCCGGGGAAGCTGCTCAGGGAATAAAACCCGATCCAGCTGCCGGGAAATTCCTGCCCAAGGTCGGATTTCCAGTGGGATTCGGCTTTCCAAGAATTGCAGGAGGAGCCGAGCAGCGCTGCAGGAACCCAACCTTCCTCCCCTGCCCAAAAATCCCCGTCCAGGCGCGGTGGGAACCTGGCCGGCCCTGCTGGGCAGATGGGGCCGGCGGGGCTCCAGCAGCTCATCCTGCACCACAGCGGGATCTTTCCCGGGAATTGGCTCCATTTTTAGCGTCCTTGCTTCCCAAAGCAGCTCAGGGAAAGGGGGGATGAGGGAAGGATGTGGAGAGGAACACAAAGGGATGAAAGGAAAAGGGATTTTCTCCTCAGGGCGGGAGAACCCCGGGTTTGATCCCAGTCCTGCCCATGGGAAGTTAATTCCCAGTATTCCAACTTCTCCTGGAAGGTGGGGAAAGGAGAACTGCTGCCCTCCATGGGCTAAAAGGCATCACAGATCCCAAACATTTCTAAGGGATCCCTGTCCTTCCTTTGTGGATAAACTGGGAGCCGAGGTGACCGGGGGCTTCTGCCCTTCCCTGGAGCGGGGGGATGGGGCAGAGCCGATCCCGGCGGGACCAGAACCGATCCTGGGCCAGAGGGCGATGCCGGCGACAAGGACAGAGCCGGGGACCCCCGCGGGTCCCCCTTGTTCCCCATCCCAGTTCACGCCAGTTCTCCCAGTTCTGCCCCAGCCTGGGCTGCCGCTCCCGAGGGAGCCACGGGGGCTTTGCCAGAGCCCGCTGAGCCCCCCAGGACCCCCCCCAACCCCCAAGGAACCCCTCCGGGGGCTCTGCTGGGCCGCGGGCACCAAAGGGTTACTCCGGAGGTACCGCTCGGCCCCGGCACCTGGCGGGGGAGGCGGGAGCGGAGCCGGAGCGCGGCCGGAGCGAGCAGGGATGGAGCGAGCCGGGGATGGAGCGGAGTTTCCCTGAGACTCCGGCGAGCGGCGGGCGGGGGAGCGGCCGGGGGGACAGGGGAGGGGACAGCGAAGGGGACACGGGGACGGCAGCGGCCGCAGGTGAAGCCGCCGCGCCTCGCCCGGAGCGGCCCCGCGGGGCGGGAGCTGCCGGGGCCACCATGGGCCGGGGCGGGCCGTAGGGAGCCGCTCCGCAGGGGGACCCCCCCTTCCCCTCGCTGACGCTGGAGGAGAAGGGAGGGAAAGACGGAAAAAGGAGGAAAATCCCAGCGAAACCCACCCCAAACCGGAGCCGCGGAGAAGGCGGCGGCGCCGGCTGGAAAATGCATCTTCCTCGGAGCTGCGTCCTCCTCTTCCTCCAGGGCAGCATCGCGCTGCTGGTGAGCGCCGGGAGGGCAGCGCAGGGGGTCCGGGGGCTGCGGGCACCGGGGGTCGCGCAGCCACGGGGATGGGGCGTGCGGGCAGCCGGCAGCGATCCCCACAGCCGTCCCCGCATCCCCGCCCGCCCCCGGGAAAAAACCGCGTCCCAAAACTTCTGTTATTTGGCCGCGGGGAGCGGGCAGGGCTGGCGAGGAGAAGGCTCCGGATCGCCCCAGAAATCCGCACGCCCCCAGCCCCGCGCGGCAGCCCGGGGAGGGCTGGGGCAGCGCCGGGGCCGGGCCGGCTCCGGGCTCCGCTTCCCGGGGCTCCCTCTGCCTCCCGCTGCCTGCTCGGCCGGGTCAGCCCCGGGCACCCCGCGGCTTCTCCGGGTCCCCCCGCCCCGGCCCATGGGGCTGCAGCCCCCCGGGCGCCCCCAGACCCCCAGCAGCCTCTGGCGGTGGCGGTTTGGGGGTCCCGGGAGCGGAGCGGAGCCCGGGGCAGCTCCCCGGGTGACAACTCCGCTCTGCGGTCCCTTGTCCTGTCCCGGCCCCCTGGCCCGGGTGTCCCCAGGCCTGGCGGGGTCAGAGGGGCCGTGCCGGGAGCAGGGGTGGGGGTGAGGGCACGGGGGGTGCGGGAGCTGCGCCCCGAGGCAGCAGAGAGCGACTCGGAGCCATCGCGGCTGCTCGCACCCATTCCCGGAGCAGCCGGGAGGCAGGAGAGCTGGAGAAGGCGCTGCCGGGGGGAAACAAAACAGAGAATAAAGAGAAAATCGGGGGAGAGAGGCTGGGAAGGGCTGGCAGGGCTCGGTGACCCTGGGGAAGGGGCTGGCAGGGCTCGGTGACCCTGGGGAAGGGGCTGGCAGGGCTCGGTGACCCTGGGGAGGGGCTGGCAGGGCTCGGTGACCCTG